ATGCAAATAGATAATAGCAACACTATGCAATCAATCATTTTCATGATTGCATAACAGAAGTAAGAAACAGAGGCAGTGAAGGTATTAAGAGCAAATATTTAATGCTATATGGGATGGAGCCAATGAAAATTTCACAGAGAAGGTTATGCTAGAGTTGGGTCTTGGTAGATGCACAGGAGTTTGCCTGACTGATCAAGAGGGGTAGGAGAATTCCAGAGCAGAAGGGCCAGCATGGAAAATGATACAGAGACATTTTTAAATAACTTAAAAAACAAAAAGGTTCAGGGTATCATGAGCATCCCTTTCTTAAGTAGGTACTTCTGATAAAGCATGAGATTGGAGGTAAGATGAGAAAACAAAGACTAGTGACTGAAAAGCATGATGGAAGCCAGACCATGAAGGGCCTCAGGTGCTATGTTAGGTACTTTGGATTTTTATCTCCTGAGTTACTGAATGGCATTGAAAAAATTTGGAAATAATGTTCTAATCTGACAGTATCAATTACATACTAAAAATAATGATCACAACAACCTGATTGTCCTTCAGTGGATGAATGGTTAAGAAAACAACAACTGCAGAACATCCATACCATAGAATACTACTCAGCAATAAAAATGAATGAATTATTGATACACACGACAATGTGGATGGGCCTCGAGAATTATGCTAACTGAAAAAAAGCCAATCCCAAACTATTTTTTAGAAGCCTGTGATTCCATTTATATAATGTTCTTGAAGCCACAAAATTATAGAGATGGATCACAAATCAGTGGTTGCTAAAGATTAGGGATTGGGGATGATTACATGGGTGTGGTGATGGAACAATTCTGCCTCTTCACGGTGGTGGTAGTTACAGAAACTCTTACATGTGATAAAACTGCATAGACATATAAACTTACACACACATGAATATATGTGCAACTAGTAAAATCTGAATAGATTCTGTGGATTGTATCAACATCAATTTATTAGTTTTGATGTTGTGCTAAAGTTACGCAAGATGTTATCACTGGAAAAAACTGGATTAAGGGTAAACGGAAATTCCCTGTATGTGTGTGTGAGAGAGAATTCCTGTGAATCTATAATTATTTCAAAAAATTTTTAATTATGACAAAAATGATAGTGGTTATCCTAAAAAGAACTGGAAAAAGAGAAGTTTTCAGTGGAATTGAAAGATTACTGCTCAGACAATATTTCTTCTTGTAAAGAATTCTCTTAAGAATTTCAAGCTTGTTTTATGTAACTATACAGCACAAGGTTATATTGACATGGATGTACTTGTTACAGATAAAAATTTTTCTCAATGAAATTGGGTCCATCAATATTGAAATTATTCTATAGTTAAAGTGACAATTTTAAAACGGGGGTAGCTTATCAGTACAAATGTGCTGAATTCTGAATGACAAAAGCTCTGAGATCATGTCAAACACTAGTAGTTGGACCCCCCTAAAAAGTTATAAAAAATAGATAAATAACACCCAACTAGCCAAACAAGCTTAAACAACCATACAAACCTGACTTAACTTATGTGCTGAGTGATTTGGTTTTCTTAGAATGAAGAGTTCATGTATGTGTGTACATCTAACATGTCTACATTTATCATGTGTATACATATCATATATGGTTGCTGATTGTACATCAAACTCTAACAGAGTGTGATGAACTCTGAGATTAGAAACTCATGTAAAACTAACATAGAGAAACTATCATGCATTAACAAAGCACAAGTGTAAAAACTAGGAGAAACACAATAGTCCTATGTTATTTACATACAGGACAGTCCCCAGAATAAATGTTAGGTGGAATCATGCTCTCTTGGGCTGACAGTTATCATTTGAGTAGCAAATTGTCCTAGTGGATTTTCTTCATCCTCAGCCTTGAAACAATAGTTAATTTTATGCAAGATTCTTGCATAATGGTAATGTGGATTTAACAGTGGCTTTGAGCATTTTATTCTTGTAGAATTTATATGCTTCACACAAGTGTATATTAGTTCTTTCTAAAATCCCAAGTTCATGAGTTCTTGATTCATGAATGCTAATCATAGACAATGATATGAGTTGGGCTTTAAAAATCATAAGGCATTATGTCAGTAGAAGGCAATCCACTAATTTAGCAGGGTTATAAGTAAGTCCTCAATGGCCAGGTAGCACCTTGCAGCAGAATTGGAACCTGAAAGAAGTCCTTGGAATGGCAAAAACAGGTGGCAGATATGGGCACAATTACTCATGCTCTAAAATGTAACCATAATCTTGGAAGTGAGGCCAAGATGGCAGCCTCAAAGTGGATGAACTAAGTTGGCCCAGGCATGACTATCACCCCCCAAAATACAGTCTTTATAAGCATGTCTCACAATAGATTATTATTTGTTTTCTTATTCATCGTCTGTTTCCCCAACCTGAACGTAAGTCCCAAACCTTTCCTGGTTTCTATATCTTTGTGTACCCAGTTCTTGTAGGGTTCCTGGTACAGAATAAGTCCTCAGTAAATATTTGTTGACTAAATGAATATGTCTTCACTCTATAATACTGCTTTTAACAATTTTGAGTGGTAGACACTTTTCAAATTCTAATGAAAATTATGAATGCTCTCTTCAGAAAAAAAATGCACAAAAAGATAATGATTTGATTTCCTGTAGGGTTCATGGATCCAGGTTAGGCTATGCCTATGGAAATTGTTTTCAAGGATGAGGATATTATTTTCAACACAATTAGCCACTGAGTTTCTATTCTAGTTCCTTCAGGCATTCTCCTGATCATTTGCCCAAGCCAATTTCCTCCTCAACTCTATAGAATTATTTGTTTATTTTTTGCTACTTATCATTGATCAATAGTCATACATGCACATTAAATTTTAGTGACATCATTGTCAAAGGAAAGGATAATTCAGCTAATAAAAATATTCTATTATTTTTTATAAAGTGTATAATCTGTCTCTCCACCTGCCTCTCTCTGTCTCTCTTGCTCCAACGCTAAGAAGCTTTAGTGTACACTTGGTATAATCTCATAATCTCTTTCCTAAAGGTCACTCTGAGTGGAATTTGAAAAAGAAAGGGGTTAAGTCATACACACAAAACCACCTGCCCAACATAGATGGAATGGTTCAGAATAAGAGGGAGAGTGGAGATGAGGTAACTTTTTGTAGAAAAGAGCTGTCCTTAGTTATCAGTAATGAAAGATGCCCAAGTGAAACTTGCACACTGAGCTTTTGGTAAGGAGAGACTATTATCATCCCATCTAAGCTGAGCTGTCAGTTACCAGCAAACCCTTCATGGAAATCGCCTGCCTTCTAAAAGCCTTCATTAGACCAGATTCTTCCAATACAATAATCCACAAGCAACTATGAAACTCTGCCACTATAAATGAAGGGTGTTACTTTTTATTTCTTCTGGTTTACAAAAAGAAAGCTCATGGAGCTGCTAAAATGCTGGCGGCCACAATCCAAATCACCTCTGTGATCTGCCTTAACCCTGAGTGTCCTGTTCCTAGGGACCCCCGCACACACACGCTACCCTCAAGGAAGGCAGAGAGCAGTTCATCTCCATCTCAGCAGCGGAACTGCATCCACGGACTAGGGGTTGGGTGTGTGCCACAGAAGCAGCAATAGAAGATGCCAATGCACTCGATACTGCAGTCTCAGCAAACTGTCATCATGGGGCCCTACTCTCCATCATGGAAATATCAGGAAAAGCAGGGATACACAGCAGACACTTCAAGCAGGTGCCTGGAGCCAGGCTGCTTGCATGGTACTGAGGTTGGGGCAAAGAGCTTTTTAGCTATGGTTTTTAATGCTTGCACACCCCAACACTCACAACTTTCTTTCTTAATGGCTCAAAAATACATCAAAACAACAGTGCTTGGCATTTTTGCAATGAGAAGCTGTCCTGTAACTCTGCAAAGAAACTTTTTCAATGACAAGCTTTATAGAAATTGGTTTAAATGCTTATTTCAAAAGCCCCACATGGGAAACAGTCTTAGGTGTGCACTGTTTTAATTGCATTAAGTTCCTTCTATCCTAAAACCTGTTTCCTAAGAAAGAGGCTGGGTAGTTAAATGCAAATCATTGACAAAATCACATCTACAAATTAGAGTACCAGAGCCTTCGGGAGATGCTTTTCTCCTTTACATCTGCAAACACTTTTAGAGATTAGAAGCATAACAGTTTTAAAGAAATAAAGTCAGTAAGGCTCAGTACAAAGCAGATACAATGAGGAGGCAGGAGTCACATAAGTGAATAATGAAATTTTCTACTTATCAAATTTAAGTCATTCCCTGTTAAAAAGAGCATCAACTATTGCTGGGAAGATTTCCAACTATGGAAAGCAACATAGAGGAAGGGGGAGCTTAAATTTTATAAGGAAAGTAGTAGTATTACAACAATTGACTTTTTCTCCATGTCTCACAACACGGCCTACATTTATTTCAAGCAGAAATTTAGATTTAAATGTGTCAGTGTTCACTCTAATTTGCCATTTGGGGTGTGTGTGTCGGGGGGTTCCTCCTGCAACAAAACTTCCTCAAAGTCTTGCATAGCTTTTGTTACCATGGTCTTTCAAAAGACAAATAAGCATGCAGTACTAGATGGGAAACTATTTTTAATAGTAGAATCACAGGAACTACAGTCTGTACCACAAAATAGGACAACCACATTCGCTGCTGAAAAGCTACCCTGATCTCAGTACCAGTTTCCAGCAGTGTCTTATTCTCTGCAGACTGCAATTCATACAGCTTCTGAGGTGTTCTTAACACTTTAGAATGCACAAAATAGGCCACATTTAAAAAAAAAAACCTACACACACACACACACACACACACACACACACAACACAACCACCTTGGGTTTTCCACCCTGCTAAGGAGCTATTTTAGAGACACTCGAGAATTCTAAATTAAGTAACCCACAGAAGAAAGAGTAAGTCACTTTTCAAACCCGGCGAACTGTCTCCACTGCACCTGTCTAGCACACGGAAACCCCGGGCAGAGGGAATCTTACATCCATACCTATATTTCATGCCAGTCTGCTTTGCGGTGGACTCTTTGAGAGAAATGTGGTGCTGAGGGGTGAACGTCCCCAGGCTGCGTGCGATGATAGCGACCGTGCGGAATTTGGCCCGGGCTGCGTTCACCACATTGGGGGCGGTGGAGCTCTGCTTGCTCAGAAGTCGGTCCTCACCATTCCGACTCTTCAAATTGTGCTCTGTGCAGGCTATGGAGACTTGCATTGCTTCCCCGGGCAGCACACGGTCCCTCTCAGAACCCCAAAACACAGGCAGTCACGAGAGGTTGAGCAGTTGGGAGGGTTTCTGCTCGCCTTTTAACCCCTCCTTGGCGCACCCCCGTTCCTGGGATGCCGTCAGAGGAGTCCTCGCGGCAGACTTCAGAGCCGGGAAAGTGGCTGCGGTGCAGGACAGAGCCCTGGGCACCGACCGAGAGAAGTAAACAGCCAGCTCTGAAGTTGTCACAGCAGCTGGAGCGCGGATCAGGCTAGCAAATCTTCCCGGGCGGTCACCTCGGCTGATTAAACAGCCAAATCCATGTAGCCGGGAGGCTTTTGCAGACGCCTAGGGCTGAGCATTCGCGCTGACTACACGCAGCCCTGCAGGAAGTCCATCCGCCGTGTCTGAATGCGGGCTCGCCTCTGGGCGATGGCTCAAATCCACGCAGGCATACCGCAAGATGCGCCGCCAGCACCCTCTGGACCACAGGCAGGATGCTCAACTGGCACGCGGAGCATCCCAAGAAGCAGCTAAACGCAAGCCCGGACGCGGGGACCGGTGGTCCTCAGCCACTCAGGCTGTCAGCTCCCTCCCTGCCCCACTCCGGGAGGTAGTGGGGGCTCCTCAAGACCCCTCCCCACTCATTTTCAGGCAAAAGCCTTGGTCGCTGAGCCCACAGGGACACGGTTTGTAGCTGCAGGAGAGGCAGGCAGTGAGTTCCCTTGAAGAGCTCCTTGTCTTTGTGTGTGCAACGGGAAGGCACGGATCGCTTTCACAGACCCTCGCTGTAACAGGGTCTGGAGTGCTGCTCAGAAAGCAGGACTCTGCCCGGACTCAGACCAAAGCCTGCTGCAGCACACCAGTTGGAACTGGGGGAAGGCAGAGTGGGGGTGTTTCTGCCACCGAACCTGCCAGTGAATTAACACGTGATTACTCTGTGACTGGCTGGCTTGCTCAAACAGCCTGAAGTCCCTATTATTAGCCTTGCCAGGGTTCATTTCCCCTTTGCACATTATTTCTTAAGCAGATAAGTTTGAAGTTTCCTGAAAAGCCACAGTGCAGACTTTCTGGAGTCAAGACAGCTATAACTTGCTGCAGAATCTATTCTTGCTCCGGAAGGCCGGCCAAGGATGGGGGAGGAGGCAGCAGTCCAGCACCACCCAGAAAGGGGCTGCTCTAGGTGAGCAGGGGTCGCATCACCATCTAGAAAGGTCCAGGTCAGGTGGCTGGAAGCATGTATACTGCCTGCTGGTCATCTACGGCCAGCTGGTGAGGACAAGCACTATATCCCCAGATCAGTGGTGCGCAGCAAGATGTGAGGGGGAGCATTGCCTGGTTCAGTGTCAGGTGCAAAGCAACTGCTCAAACTAAGCACCAACTGGCCAATAACAATTTATCTCTCCATTTGAAATGCATGAAAGCCAGAATCCTTGTATAGATGAATATACACTAAAATTGTGGCTTCTGCAAAACGAGTTTTCTAACCATGTTTCCCAGACACCACTGTCAAGCAAAAAGAAACAGAGTTCAAATCAACAATATTTATAAGCACCATCTCTGTATAAGGCAATAGAGAGAAATGTGGAGAAGAAAATGAAGCACTGTCCTTCTCCTCAAGAAACTAGCAATCAGGGTGGGAAATACAAAGCATTCAGTCTTAAAGGGGCTAATTAACAATGTCAGAGGCACATTAGAGTCAGTTATACAGACACTAAGTCTACTAGAGTTTAACAGGGGAATGATGACAGGAAGCTGGAGAACGTTCCTCATTTATTAATTTCCCTCACTTCTACTAAGACCCTATTAGGTACCTGGCTTCGTTGTTGCTGGGGTACAAAGATGACTTAGATAGAGACTGGACCTCAAGGAGCTCATGGGTGCCCAGGCAGCCCTCATAGAGGGAAGGGACTTGGCCTGGGGCATGAATTTAGTTAGCAGGAGAGAAGGGAGGCTGTCTTCCCAGAGGTTGGCTGGTGTGGGGAGAACATATACTCTGGCTGTGTCTGTGTGATATAAAATAGCAGGTCTGACCACTTCGTCCCAGCCAAATTAAGTTGTAGGAATAAAAGTTTTAAGTACGATATGTGCCTGTTTTGAATTCTATCCCAGGTATGGATCTTAACATTGTGTACCCTGCAGATAAGGTTTAAAGCATATTGTGGAATTCCATCTTTTACCCTCCATGCCCTTCCCACTCCTTACTTTAAAATATAAATGTACCGCCTAATGGTCAGTAGTTGGGAAGTAACGTTAGGATGGGGTGAGGGTTGTAGAAAGGGACAAATGGACCTAGGATACCTCCTTTTTACCCTCAGCTCCAAGGTAGGCGTTCTTTAAGCATATCTTTGTTCCCTGGAATAAATAACAGTGGGCAGAGAGGAAGCAGATCATTCGAATGTTTATTTTTTCACAGTAAGCTGGCTCATCGGAAATGATCAATATAAATCAGGAAAAGAGTCAAATTGAGAAGAGGAAGAAGTGGGAGGAATCAGAAGAAACAGCTCAGAAAAATGGGAAAAAATAAAGCAGCCTGGGAGGCAAGATGGAACACAGTGATCACCACAGTGCCAGAGGGGTCAGGAGCCAGCGGCTGCGGGGGAGGTGCGGGGAGGTGGCTAAGGGAGGTAAGAGTGCTGCCAATTCTGCAGGGAGGAGGGGGACTGCTGAGGGTGCCAGAGATCTGGACACTGTTAGCTGAAGTGTCAGGACTAAGAGCAATGTCTGAAAACATAACCAGCACCGGGAATAGGTTATCAGAATAAAACATGCAGAGCAGAGTGCCTCTGAGTCACCTTTTTATCCCCCACAGGACCAAGTAGAGTGCCTTGTGCATAGCAGGCCCTCACTCTATAAATAATTGAGAGAAGGAGATAAGGAAGCAGAGGAAGGAGGAGCCAGGAAGGGAGGAGTATGGGAATATGCCTAATTCTTGGATAAACTTGATTCCTTAAAAAAAAAAAAAACATAGAAAGAAAAATAGAAAATCCTGCACATTCTAGTTTCACACAGCTTGCTCACTGAAAAGGAGTGAATAATTGTCCCACAGTCACATCTGCACCTCTTGTGTAGAGGCAAGTGTTCCAGCCCTTAGGACATGCCTTGGAGAGAATCAAAGACCTGAGGCTGGAGAGCCGCTCACAGTGCAAGCCTCCTTCTTGCTAGCCACAGTGCAGTCTTTTCACATCTGTCGCCACTTGCGCTTTCTGACAGCCAGCCAGCAGCGAGCGTGGTGACTTACCCCAGCTGTGCTGACCCTTCCCAGCATTAATGGAGCAGTAGGTCTCAGGAGCCCGGAAATTAGATAATAGTTGGCTGTGAGGATGCTCATTCCTAATAAGAAGTGTGTGCTAACAGGCCACATGCTAATTAAGCTGGGGAAATTAGATTTGGAATATGTATCTTTTCATGGTCACGCCATAGGATTTGGAAGCGTTCTCACTATTATTATTTCAGGCTCACTTAAGATCCACAAATGATATAGATATAGATGTGGACATAGGCATAGATACAGATATAGGTATATATGTACATATAGATATAAATATAGGTATAGGCATAGATACAGATATTGTTATGGGCCCCCCAAATCCATATATTGAAGTCCTAATCCCCGGTATCTCAGAATGTGACTGTATTGGAGATAGGGTTTATTAAAGAGGTAACTGGGGTAAATGAGGTCATTAGGATGGGCCCTAATCCAATATGACTAGTGTCCTTATCAGAAGACAAGATTAAGACGAGACACACACACACAGCGTGAAGATCATGTAAAGACACAGGGGGAAGACGGCCATCTGCGAGCTAAGGAGAGAGGCCTCAGAAGAAATCAATCCTGCTGACACCTTGATCTCAGACTCCTACCTCCAGAACGCTGAAAAAATAAATTTCTCTTGTTTCAAAATACCCAATCCATGGTATTTTGTTAGAGCAGCCCTAACAAACTAATACAGATGTAGATATTGCCTGTTTTTATTTTAATTCTTACATTTTTGGCCAAGAGAAACGATTAGAGGTCTCTAAAGAACATACTCCTAAAAGTCACTATTAGGCCATGATAAATATCATGATCAGGCCACTCAACACATCCTAAGCCAACACTACAAACGTGCTCCAAAGACCAGGTCCAGATACAACTCTTTACCACAAAGTCTTAAAGCCTCTACATGGTGATGCTTGATAAAAAACAAAGTGGTGGTTTTCAAGGCACTTCGAGTACTTTTCCTTGGTCTTAATAATCTCCTTATTTTGCCAGTTTGCCCTTTTAAGCACTTGCTTTCTATTGGGCATCTGGGATCAACCAACCTCAGAAGTGTCATGAGGTGGTAGAGACAGGCCTGCACCAGCAGGCAAAGGCCCGGGCTCCAAACCCAGCTATGTCACTTTGTCTGTGACCTCAGGTGTCATTACAGCTCTCTCTGCCTCTTTTTCTCTCACCTGAAATATGAGGGCAATACATATTTATTCCCAAGATCCTCTTTTGGTCTATAGATTCCATGAGCTATTTTTTCAGAGAGGTGGAGGTTACAAGATTACACAGAGCCAAATTACCACTTAGCCTGCAATTTCACCTTGGTCTCAGCTGGTCTCTATTATTACCTGATATTTGGAATTCTTTGGAAGTAATGTCAAAGGGTCATCATTGGGTCATGGTGACAGAGCTGGTTAGGAACAGACCACAGGCTCCTTAACTTGCACCTTATCTTCTCATGGTCATCCTAGAGTCTTCATGGTAAGGTGGAAGGACTCTCGGGTGGGGGTGTCAGTTAGAGCTGGGTGTGAAGGCCCGCTCAGCTCCACCCTCCTCCTCCCCATGTGCACGGAGCAGCATCCTCAACCTCCCTGTGCCTCAGTCTCCTCTGAGGTAAAAAAACGGTGCCAGAACATGCCTCCCTAGATGACGGTGGGAATTCATGATACAGCGCTTGGCCCACAGCAGGCACGTGGGCTAACCACTAAGTATCCATCTCAACTTATTAAAAACAGGGCTGTAAGGAAGTCTTTAATTTCCTCTCAATCAAGCTCACCAGGAGACTTCAGCAATTATTAATAGTGGTAACACTTACACAGCACTTCCTATATCCTAGAAACTCTTAAGGACACTTTACCTGCATTAGCTCATTTTACCCTCATAAAGCCAAATGAGAGGTGCTACGTTATCAATTCCGTTTTATAGATAGCAAATGTGCAACACAGAGAAACTAAATAATTTGCCCAAGGTGACACAGGGATTTACCTGGGGGGAGGGAGGTAGCCTGCCTTCTTAACCCCTGTGCACACTGCTCCTCACTGCAAGAGCTTCCTTGTGAGAAGGGCTTTAAATAGTGCCATTTGATGAATGTAATTTAAGAGAAGCCCTATTCTTATTATGAGCCAGGAGGAAAAATTCTATTTTAAAAGTCTAAAACATTCAGAACAATTAAATCATCCATTCTTGGTAGCTTTTGAGTATGCCTTTTTATCAAAAACCTTTTTCAATACTTCATAATGCTTTATTCCTTGCTCAAGAAAAGAATTCGCGGGCCAACCAAGTGGCGCGTTGGTTAGGAGTTGGCTTGGGAGTACTGGCTCTGAGCAGGAGGGCCCCAGTTCGGATCCCACATGAGGGCCAATGACGCTACGCCCTCTACAGCTAAGATGGTGAACAACAGCTCAACCTGGAGCTGGGCTGCTGTGAGTCACCGGTGATGGCGTAGGCTGCAGTGGGGCTGCTGTGGGCTGCCGTTAGCTGCCATGAGCCACTGTAAGCCGCCATGAGCAGCCATCCAATGGCCGGTGAGAGACTGCCTCACCCGGGAAGAGCGCAATGATAATACCAACATGGGCCAGTGAAGCGGCGTCCTCCACTGCTGGACTGAGGAACAAAAGGAC